GAGCAATGGCCACTCCTGCCTTGCTTAACTTTCCGGCAACTTTTGTATTCCTCGGCGTTGGCTTAGCTTTCTGCCATTGAATTGGCACATCTTGATACGTGTATCCGAGCTTCGCGGTGTCCACAGAGTCTTTGATTTTCACACGTACCAACTGAGCATTCTCATTGTAGAACACGAATGAAGCATTCAACCAATCTTTATCTGTCGGGTCTCGACGTTTTCCTCCTAGGGTTTTCCATATGTTCCACAACCGATCAACATTTGCATGGTGACAATAGAAAATTGGGTCTCTCCCTGCTGAGTAGAATCTACCCATATTCTCTCCGTTAGGCTGGTTTCTATCTCCAGTCCATATGTGTACCGGAGTGTGAGGTATGTTCTCGATAGCTCCGGCACCGTTAGGCTGATCGTCGCCGGCACGGTAAGCTTGTCCAAAGAAAAGTTCAGCATTCTTGCTGCACGAAACCATTTGCTTATACATCGTCGTGAGGTTGTAGGAAATCTGTTGCTGATCATTTTGAGTAGTCTCGGTGGAGGGGCCGAAGTAATTCAGATCCATAATCGTCGGCGGCTGGTGTAAGGCGTCACGAAGAGGGTCATAGAGAGAAGAGTTAGTATCAGTAAACATGGTGGGTATTGTCATACCATCAGGACTGTCATAGTTCCAAAATGGCAGAGCAAAAGTTGGGTCATTGATTAATTTTCCCAATATTTTCTCGAAGAAATAGAGGTAGAATCGATGGAAGGGAAAGAAAATCCATGAGAAATGGACATCAACTTTCTCTTCTGGAAAGCCTTCTTGTTCATAAGCACTGTCACAGTAAGCACAATGGACATTAGCTTGTTGCATGAAATTACGTGGGTCATCTTCAGGAAGGGCTTTCATGAGTTCAATGGCTTTGGAGTACTTGGCAATGTACTCTTTGTCTACCAAATGAGCCGCCGGTCTAGTTCGCATCACAGGCGAGGAAGGAAGCTCGAAATCAATCACTTTGGTTGCCGACGGGGGGCAACAGTTCGTCGGAGTAACACCGGCGGGTAAGCTTGCGTCGCTGCAGCTTGATAGATCCGGCACGGATACCGGATTTGCAAATGTTAACGGTGGAATGACAAGGTTGGAGGCACTGTAGAGACCCCCTAACCCAAGAAGCACATTTCTCCGGTCAAACTTTCCCGGAGAAGTTTCTCCGTTTTGAGGGTTAGTGGTGGGGTTTTGGTCCCCACCGATGGCTTTACATGATACTACTGTGCGACGTTTTGGCTTTTCATGTGAGAGAAATCGTGGTGTCTTGGGGAAAAATTGGCAGGGTGAGAGTGAGAAGGTGGATGGGGTGTTGAAGAAAAAGAGAGAGTAGACGGTGGCAGTACCGGCGGTGGGAAGAGAAGCCATGGCCAATTTTTTAATGTCACCACCATGGCCCCAAAGAGCCTGTATTTATACACAAACTAATAANAAGCCATGGCCAATTTTTTAATGTCACCACCATGGCCCCAAAGAGCCTGTATTTATACACAAACTAATAAAGTAATTGCTTATTTGTAGGAGTTCTGTTGGTAGAATAAGTCTCTCACCGAGAAAGTTGTTAGTTGTGTTTTTTTTTCGCTAATGCTCTTGGGATATAATTGAAAGATATAATTTGAAAATATAATGAGTTGTTATTAATGAAATGATAGTAAAATGTATTTAATAATGGGTCTTATTGTAGTATTAAATAAATTTATTATCATATCATTGATGACAACTTATTATGTCCTCAAATTATGTTCATAAATTATGTCTCAATAGCATTGCTCTTTTTTTAGATTCACCAAATTTTTGAACTAAATTTGGAGTCCAAATGACATGACAGTTGACTTGGGTTTCTTTTATTTGTGTCATGTCATTTGAACTTTAAATTTGATCCCAAAATTTAGTCAGTGTAGCATTTTTTTTTTCATTATTGCATTTACCACGTAGAAGTGTTTTTTTTTAAAAAGTCTCAACTAGGAGTTGGTTTGAAAATAATTCTCAAACTCGGTCATTTTTAAAAACGTCAGTTCATTTGATATTTTTAACCCAAAGACTGTGGCACACATTCAACTTAAACACGTCAAACAGATTGACGTTCTTAGTTAAAAACGTCACTCCATTTACTCCTATCTGCAGCGAACCTAACTAAACGAGCATAACGACATCAATTACCAAATTTCAATGTTGATTCTAAGATTCAAACTTCTAACTTTATAATGAGAAGTTTAACCGGTATTCTAATGGACCTTGTCACTCCTAATTAATTTTCAATTATTATGTTTAATTAAGTCGATAAATTAGATTTCAATAACATTATTAGAGCTTCTTTAACTAAGTAAAAAACTTGATTTAATATAGAACACTCTAATCGATAAACTCAAATATATATTTAAAACTTTTAAAAAAAATTTATTACCGCCCCAAAGCTCAATTTTTTAGATTCGTGAATTTTTTTTATCTAGTATGAGATGTGAGAGAGATTGTTTAAGAATGAACTTTTATCCAGCCCATTGACAAATTTATTATCTTGTATCTAGAATTGCAAAACCGCACTAGACCAATNCAAGTATGAGATGTGAGAGAGATTGTTTAAGAATGAACTTTTATCCAACCCATTGACAAATTTATTATCTTGTATCTAGAATTGCAAAACCGCACTAGACCAATGAAAGTGAGCCAAAGTTTTTATTCGTTAGCCAAATACAATGTAGAGTCAATGTTAATTTTATTAAACTAAACGTTAATTGAATATTAATTTTGTATTAATTTAATGTAATTGTGTTAATAATGGTATTATGTATGTTTTGGTAAGGGTAATTATGTGAAATCAAATATAAGAGTAATTATGTAAGGATAAATTCAAATAGCACCCCTGTAAAATGGGGATTTGATAAAAATTCACAGGAGTATATAATCAGTGATATTTCAAAAAATAGAGGAGTACGATATTATTTTAACAAAATATGAATAATTGATAGGATATACTAGATTGTAATTTGTTTGAAAACTCTTCTCTATATCATTTTAATTATTANTTATTTAATGAAATATGACATAAATCAAAACTATGTCAGTGAAATTTAGCTTAACAAAAGTTAAAAGTGCATGATTTCCCTGAACGAGATTTTGTGGTTACGTGAAAGGGAGACTCCGTACAGTACAAAGTGAAACAAACGTACGGAAACCTGACTCCCTCAAAAAACGAATCTCTCTCTCTCTCTCTCTCTCTCACTCTCAATATGAATATGGGGTACGATATTATTTTAACAAAATAAGAATAATTGATAGGATATACTAGATTGTAATTTGTTTGAAAACTCTTCTCTATATCNTACGATATTATTTTAACAAAATATGAATAATTGATAGGATATACTAGATTGTAATTTGTTTGAAAACTCTTCTCTATATCATTTTAATTATTATACAATATTATATATCATAGAATATTCATAGACATCAATTTAGTTACTATTTATCTTAATTTATGTTTGATTATCTGAAATAATTAATATATAATCATCAATCTATATTCACGTATTTAATGAATATATATTTTATATTTGTGTTACATGTTTTAAAGTGAATCGATTTAAGATTAGAATTAAAATTTTATGTCAAATATTTTGATAACTTAAATCGAAAACTCATCCCATATGAGATCAATGTACCTAAATCGTGGATAGTTAATGATTTATTGAATTCTAATAGGNATGAATATATATTTTATATTTGTGTTACATGTTTTAAAATGAATCGATTTAAGGTTAGTATTAAAATTTTATGTCAAATATTTTGATAACTTAAATCGAAAACTCATCCCATATGAGATCAATGTACCTAAATCGTGGATAGTTAATGATTTATTGAATTCTAATAGGAAAATGTTATTTGGACCTAATTTGATGACCTACTTTAGAGACCTAATGATGTACAACTATTAGAATGGTTGTGGGCTTCATCTAACATTGAAACTCACAACTAATCTAATGATTACATTAAAATTACATTATTAAATATTCAAATTAGGTTCACAAATAAAGTCCCTATAGTATTGCTCTATCTAATAACCGTGTGTTANCTTACTTTAGAGACCTAATAATGTACAACTATTAGATTGGTTGTGGGCTTCATCTAATATTGAAACTCACAACTAATCTAATGATTACATTAAAATTACATTATTAAATCTTCAGATTAGGTTCACAAATAAAGTCCCTATAGTATTGCTCTATCTAATAACCGTGTGTTATAGTTACATTATTAAATCAAATTTTGTTGCCAGTCAAAAACTGATGGAATCCTTCAAAAACAGACTNTATAGTTACATTATTAAATCAAATTTTGTTGCCAGTCAAAAACTGATGGAATCCTTCAAAAACAGACTGCTATGAAATTTATATAGTCAAGAGGATACCAGAGTGGTATCATTGCATTGCAAGACTACTTGACGTTTGAATTTAGAAATTAATAGATATTTGGTATTCCCTTTTAAATAGAAATGAAAAAAAAANCATTGCAAGACTACTTGACGTTTGAATTTAGAAATTAATAGATATTTGGTATTCCCTTTTAAATAGAAATGAAAAAAAAAATTAAGGGTGAATTATATTTTTGGTCCCCAAACTATGTGTTTTGTGTCAGTTTAGTTGTCAATCTTTTAATTGTGTCAATTTAATCCCTCAATTTTTCAATTTGTGTCATTTTGGTACACTAAAAAACGGTCGTTTGAATTGACTAATGGAAATGATTAAGTGACCACATTTGATGAATCACTTTGGTTTGTCAAATTTATAACTTGTATCATTTTATTCCTTTTGGAGACTAAAAATATATTTTATCCAAAATTTAATGAAATTATTTTGGCATTTGGGCTCGAAGATAAGGAAAAAAGTCTCTCATTCCCCATCTTAATTTCAAAGATCATGATGTATTGTGAAGTTNGATTAGGTTCACAAATAAAGTCCCTATAGTATTGCTCTATCTAATAACCGTGTGTTATAGTTACATTATTAAATCAAATTTTGTTGCCAGTCAAAAACTGATGGAATCCTTCAAAAACAGACTGCTATGAAATTTATATAGTCAAGAGGATACCAGAGTGGTATCATTGCATTGCAAGACTACTTGACGTTTGAATTTAGAAATTAATAGATATTTGGTATTCCCTTTTAAATAGAAATGAAAAAAAAAATTAAGGGTGAATTATATTTTTGGTCCCCAAACTATGTGTTTTGTGTCAGTTTAGTTGTCAATCTTTTAATTGTGTCAATTTAATCCCTCAATTTTTCAATTTGTGTCATTTTGGTACACTAAAAAACGGTCGTTTGAATTGACTAATGGAAATGATTAAGTGACCACATTTGATGAATCACTTTGGTTTGTCAAATTTATAACTTGTATCATTTTATTCCTTTTGGAGACTAAAAATATATTTTATCCAAAATTTAATGAAATTATTTTGGCATTTGGGCTCGAAGATAAGGAAAAAAGTCTCTCATTCCCCATCTTAATTTCAAAGATCATGATGTATTGTGAAGTTTTGATTCACTCAACCGACACTTATAAGTCTCCTATGATTCCATTTGATGAATGCACATTAAAAAAGAATTTGGGGCAAATTAATTCATATGATCCAGATCCACCAGATAGAGATGCCCCAAGTACTTTTGCAGGAGATAACAATATGGTTGGACAAATGCTAAAAAAGATTTTGGCAAACCAAGAGGAGTGACAAAAAGAAATGGAGTGTCAACAAGAAATGAATGAGTCTCTCAAGCAAATTTGCACAAAAGAGTCTCCCAAGCAGCTTGATGAAGACACAAAGGAGTCTCTCAAGCAGTTCCATGAAGACACCAAAGAGTCTCTCAAGCAGCTCGAGATTAAGTTGTTGCTGGAAAAAAAAATTGAGTAGTACTTAAATGTAGTTGTTGGATTATAGATAAAATTTTAGTTGTTGGATTGTAAATTTTAATATGTAATTTTGTTGATACTATGTAAATTCAAAGTAGATGTCATAGTATTTTTTGTTGATGGTATGCAAATGAAAAGTGGATGTCATGGTGATTTGTTGATGTTATGTAAATTTAAAGTGGATGTCATGATGTTTGGTGATGTTATATCAATAATATAATGCTAGGAATACACAATACAGTTGTTTTGTTGATGCATGTTGATGCGCACAATTTGTTGCGTAGGAAAGCTCATAAAGAGAGAATGTCTACATGATATTGTTATCCTTGATGCAGACATGTTGAGTAGAGGAGCTCATAAAAGAGAGAATGTCATTGTACCATTGTGCTCCATAATATTGGTACCTTGATGCAGACAACATGTTGAGCAGGGGAGCTCATAAAGAGAGAATGTAATGCTCCCATTGT